CTTTCCTCCATTTCTGTCATTTGTGATCTGTTTCTTTGTCTCTGCATTTTTTATGCTTCCCTGTGTTGATAGAGTGGCTTTCTGTGCTAGGTGTCCTATAGGGCCCAGTGGCTCAGCCTCCCCAGTTACCTGAGCTAGGAGCTCTAGGTGTACCCCTTTGTGGGCTGTGTGCACAGTATTATTGTAGTTAAACCTTGATTGTTGTTGGTATCACTGGAGGAATTGACCTCCAGACCAATTGTCTGTGAGAATCAGCTGTGTCTACAGTGGGAGAACTTCTGTGCTGAAGACACCCTTATGGGGCAAGACTTGCTTCAGTGGGGCTTTGGTGCTCACTGAGTCTGCCCCCTAAGTGTGTCCCTTATGGATCTGAGGAGTTGTAATCTGGATGGTCCCACTCTGACCACTGGGTACACTGGCTCTTGGATCTCTAAGGAGGTGCTAATTTAGCCTCTGCCTGAGGCTACCCAGCAGGAGCCACAGAGAGATATGCAGATTCCTCTGCCTTGTTTGGGGTTTGGAGGTGCCCAGATGAGGCCCAGCTGTGAAGCAATGCAAGCTGCTGTGGGGCCTTGGGCCTTCTTTTGGAAGTTCTGGGTTTCTCTGACCCAGCTGCAGTTTGTTAGGTAATTTTAGATCTCAAAGGGCCAGCCCATTCATATGCAAAAGCCTCTGCGCACAGCTTGGGTGGGGCGGGGTCTCAGGGAATCAACAGGGTGGAGCAAACAGCTATGGCTGATCCTCAGTCCTGCCCTAAGAGGCCCCTGTGTCTCAGTGTCCCATCTCAGTGTCCCGCAGTAATTGCTGCAAGCATCTCTGAGAGAAAGCTGCCCTTGAGGTCCCACCGATGCCAGACAGTCGAGTTTCTCCCCGTATGAGTCTGGGTCCCCAGAGACTCACTCGGAACTGGAGTTCAGGGCTGTCGGGATCTTGTGACTCCCTCCCTATTGAAAAAGACACTGGCGTCCTCCGTTGCCAGCCCTTTCCACATGCGCCTCCATACCTTTGCACTTTACTTCCGCACCTCCTGAGTCTCAGTGTGCTTTTCTCTTTCCTTCTAGTTGTAGAATTTCCACTCAGTCAGCCTTCCTGTGGTTCTAGATGATGTCTTTTTTGTCTTTTAGTTGTAGTTTTGAAGTGGTTGTGCGAGGTAGCAATTTCAGGTGTTTACCTATGCCGCCATCTTGGTTTCTCCCTCTAGTAAAATATAATTTTAATTGGACTTTTTTCTTTATAATATAGATAATTCTGAGTATTTCAGAGTAATAAGAATGATCATAAAGAAAGAATTTTAAAGATAATGCTCAGTTCCTTTTTTAGTAAGAATGTCTGCTTTTTACTGCACTAAATATTTTACAACTGTTATAAAATTGAGAGCTTTGTTTTTCATTTCCTTTTCCCTTTTCCTATGCCTGGTAGAGATGTGAAGAGATGGTCAAAATATAACAAGTAAGAGTGAGAGGGGCTGATAATACATGAAACATTCTGAATATTTAAATGTTGGTCATAATTGGGGTGGAAATCTTAGTCTTTATGTCCTTAGATCTAAGGTAATTGCTCAGTGATATTTTATCAATTTTATGTCTTTTAAATTTCAGAAATCAGCAAGACTGATGCTGAAATGCTTACCAACAAATGTAAGTCTAGAAACTTTATTGTAAATTTAACACATTCACAAACATTTCTCCATTTTTTCCCTAAAAAGGATCTTGTAGTACATCACATGGAAATCCATAGTAGTCTTTTGAAATTATTGGATATATTAGATATATATCTGGAATTTCTTTTTGAACAACACTGGCATATGAATTTTAACTTTGTAAACATTTGTCCAAGAGGATGAAATAAAAACTGATTCCAAAGAGTTGAATTATGAGTTAAGAATATCATTCTGAGTAAGTTAAAATAAGAAAGATTGAAGGAAAAAAGGACAACTTAGGATAATAAGAAAATAAACAACTAGGCTGTATCAAATATATTTATTATTGATGAAAAACAGTTCTGTACCTTTTAAATAACTTATCTTTAAAGTATCATGTTGCCCCCAAGAATTAACCCTGCATTCATGTATTTAATGAATATTTTTGGAGTATCTGTTGTCCATATGGGGCCTTATAAGTAGCACTGAATATGCAATGTAAGATGCAGACATTAAAGAAACAAAGTTTCTACTTTCAAAAAGTTGGAAAGTTTCTTGGAGAAATGAGAATGATAACTAATAGATGCAATAAAAGTCAGTGGTTGAAGGATGCTTGAGACTGGAAAAGAGAATATGTAAAAGTCACCCAAACCAAGATGGAGTGGGTACTGTGCTAACAGCCCATTCCAGGAAATAAACAGCATTACTTAGGAGATGCTGGACAATCGCTAAAGGATTTCAAGTCATGTTTTAAGATACATATCTTATAAAGCATTATCAAAGATACCTGCTTTGTATAAATAAATCTTTTCTTCAGGTTGTGGGAGACAACTGGTCAATAATATCAGAGCAGGCAACCGAATCGTGAATGGGGGAGATGCCCAGGCAGGGGCATGGCCTTGGCAGGCAAGTATGCAGTGGAAGGGCCAACACAACTGCGGAGCATCTCTGATCAGCAGCAGGTGGCTACTATCTGCAGCTCACTGCTTTACTAAGTAAGTAGAAAGTCTGACTCTACATAGGATTCTGGGTGCTGGCATATTTTTGGTAGTTTGTGGGGGTTAAACTAAATGTGTGAACATTCATCAAGGCCATATACATTTACAAGTACCTGCAAAATTAAAGGGAAGCAGGGTTATTTAAATTTGATAAAGAAAGAAAAAGTGAATGGAAACAATTCTCATTTCCCAAAGAGCTACTTTGGCCTGACAGCAAGTACTTTACTTACATTATTTTACTTCATCATAACAATAATTCTGCACAAAAGGTATAATTAAACTTATTTAAAGATGAGAAAATTGGGGTTCAGAAATAGTGACATAAATTGGCCAACATCATATAGTTTTTAAATATCAGAAATTGAATGTGAACTCCGGTATGTCTGACTCCAGTTACTTTTCCCCTTATTTTTGCTCTGGAGGGGTTTACAATCTAGTTAAAAATTTTTAAATGTGATATATTCAGGGCACAAGACCATGGAGCATAGTAAATGTCTTGTCTACAATATGAGTAAGAGCTATGGAAGTTTGATGAATAAAGATAGTATATCCAACTGAAATATCTATCATCTATCTATCATCTATTTATCTATCTATCTATCATCTATCTATATAAAAGCCTAAGTGACTGTCTCACCATCCAACCGGTAGCTATGGCATGCACTGACCACCAGGGAGCAGATGCTCAACACACAGGCATGGAAATACGGAACAGAGTGATGAATCTCAGAGGGAAGGAGGGAGAGGGGAGGGTGGGAAGAGATTAACCAAAGATCTTATATGCATACTAGAGGCCCGTTGTGGGGTCCCTTGGCCTGGCCTGTGGGGAATTGGGTCGAAACTGACAGCCCGACATCCCCCAAGGGGTCCCAGATTGCGAGAGGGCACAGGCCAGGCCAAGGGACCCCACTGGTGCACGAATCTGTGCACTGGGCCTCTAGTATATATATAACCCTAAGCAACTGGTCGACTGTTCAACTGGTCGACCAGTTAAATGGTTGACCAGTCGCTATGATGCACACTTACCACCAGGGAGCAGATGCTCAACACAGAAGCTGCCCCCTGGTGGTCAGTGTGCTCCCACAGCTGGAGCGCCGCTCAGCAAGCTTACTGAGCTGCAGCGGCAGCAGGTGCAGTGAGGCCGGGATGAGCAGGAGCGGTGCAGCGCCCCGTCCGGGCTCAGGCTCTTCCCCAGCCGCCTGCCGCTTCGTGCACTACTACATCCCTTGAGGAATATTGAACTGCCAGTTTTGGCCTGATCCCCACCTGGCCTGCGAGGATCAGGCCGAAACTGGCAGACCGACATCCCCTGAGGGGTCCTGAATTGTGAGAGGGCGCAGGCCAGGCTGAGGGACCCTACCGGTGCATGAATCCATGCACCAGGCCTCTAGTGAAGATATAAAATTTGATCTGGCTCCTATAGATATAAGAATTGATTGATAAGGGTGAGTGTATGGAAAAGAATAATATGTGCATTTGTCTGAGAAAACAGTCTTCTTCAAATGTGTGGAGATGGGATAACACAAGTCATATTCTGTGGATAGCAAACAAAAAGAGTAACTTGAAGTAGAAAGGATTTTGTGAAATAAAGCATTAGAAAATACTAGAGGCCTGATGCATAAAAACTCGGGCACTGGGAGCGATCCCTCAGTCCGGCCTGACCCCTCTCACAGTCCGGGAGCCCTCAGGAGATGTCCTACTGATGGCTTAGGCCCGGTCCCCACGCATCTGGCCTCCCTCTGCAGGAGGCAACCCAGCAGATCAGGGGAAGGTGCTGCCCCCATCACTCCATTGCTGCTGCTGACTCTGGCCTCCCTCTGCGGGAGGCAACCAGGCCGATCAGGGGAAGGCGTTGCCCCCATCACCCTACTGCTGCTGCTGCTGCTGCTGGTGGCTGAAGTGCAAGGCCTGAGCCCTGGGCCTTGCAGCCACTGTGGCTCAAGGCTGCCTGAGTCCCGGGCCTTGCCCTGCCACACCACACCACAAGAGCCGCTGCTTGTGGGCCAGGGGGAGCAACCGAGAGGTGCTCAATGCACCTCATGGTGACCGGTCGTCCTGTATATATATATATATATATATACACATTTAGAAAATTTGTATTGATTGGGGACATCTCTAAATGACAAGATGCTTACTTATTTAACTCTCTTACAAAGCATGTTCATAGGATTTGTCCTTCTGATACGATTTTCAAACAATAGTTCATGGACTATGGACCATGGAGACTTTTCAAAAGTGTAGATCCTTAAGCATCACACTAAACCTTTAAATATAAATCTCTGGAGGTGGAGCCTGGGCTGAGTCTAAGGAAATGAAGTTTCAAACATAGTTGTGAAGCATATGGAGTCCCAGAAGGTTTCAGAGTAGTAGCAGGATTGAAGAGTGTCACTGTTACATGAAGGTCTTGAAACCTTACAACAGCAACAAAAATACACTAAGTACCTAATCTTTTGAGGGAAACTGAAAATAGTTAAACAAGATATTAGGCCCTAAACTGAGGAAGAGTTTCAGTGAGAACTTGAGAAATGGGTCATAAAATCTAAATTAGAAGCAAAAATGCATTGACTTGGTAAACATAATAGGATGATTGGGTGAGAACAGTGGCATTTTTCTTATGTATGCAGATACCAGAGCCTCCAATGGCTGTAGAAATCCAGGCTGTTTGGCAGTAAGTGATTCTGGACCCCATGCACTGAGGCTGCTAGGATGATTCTGACCTAAGTGAAATGTTCAGAACGTAAATGGGCTGAAGTATAAGGAGAAGACATCAGTGACTGTAATTAGGATGATTTGCAGAAGGCTGACAGCTCTAATAGTCCTTAGCAGTATTTTTATGTGACTACAGCATTTATAACATCTGCAAATCAAAGACATTTAAAAAAAATAAAAATTTAAGTTATTCACAGTGTTATATGGGAATCTCATGCCTTACACTGACCACTAGGAACAGTGTTGTGGCACAGAAGTTGAATGTATTTTCGTTGAATTGTGTCTTTCAGGAAAAACAATTCAAAAGATTGGACCGTCAACTTTGGAACTTTATTAAATAAACCATATCTGACACAGAAAGTCCAAAGCATTATTTCTCATGAAAATTTTAGCGGGCCTGGGGTCCACAATGACATTGCCCTGGTGCAGCTTGCTAAAGAAGTCTCTTTCTCAAAGTATGTCCGTAAAATTTGTCTTCCTGAAGCCAAAATGAAGCTCGCAGACAATGACAGTGTTGTAGTTACAGGATGGGGAACACTTTATATGAATGGTAAGTTTTTCTGTAAAAACATAATAGCTTCGTGGGAATAATTATTTAAATGATCATCCGATCAATCACTCTCTCATGAAATTAACCTATTAGTAAATATACTGAAAAGAAAACCAAGTGCTGGAACCAGCATTTGTCATTATCTTCAATTTCTAAAATATCTCTGGGAATGAGAATTGGGAAAATTGGAATTGTGTGAGGCAGACAGCTATCATAAACATCGGAGAGAGACCAATCTAGCCTGGGACTGGCCTGGCTCCTGGTCACCAAAAGACTCTGCTTTATTTTATAGATATTCTTTATCTCAACAAGCAAAATTAAGATTCCCTTAATATATAGAATTTGTTGCCTTTAGGTCCCTTTCCAAATATCCTTCAAGAGGCCTTGGTGAAGATTATCGATAACAAAGTTTGCAATGCTCCACATGCATTATCTGGCTTAGTGACCGATAACATGCTATGTGCTGGATTTATGTCAGGGAAAACTGATGCCTGTCAGGTACGTCCAAATACGTCATCAAATCATTTTCTCCCAAAGTACTAATTAAGTGGCAGTTTTTATTATCACAAAATGTTTTTCTGGGTTAATGATTTCTACAATGTACCTTCTTATTTCAATCCATAAAACGAGTATTGATTGCCCCCATTTATATACCAGCCACCAGCCTAGATGTTGGGGATGCAGTGGTGAACACAATCCCTGCCCTCATGGAGTTTTCAGTCTAGGAATCCACACAGGTGATAATACCTTCAAGGCAATAAAATAGATTTGGCCCCATTTCCTGGGCAATCTGCAGATCTACAATGCTGCCTCTTCCTTATCCAGAGATGCAGCAGGAGATCTAGCATGTGCACACAGCACCCATTCCTCACAGGCTTCACAGAGCAGCTGAGTCGCTTTCTCCAGAGTCAAGGCTGGACTCATTATAAAGTCAATTTCTAGTCTGTCCAATCCAGAATTTGGCAGCTATAGACAATAGATTCTGGTCTGGAGTTTCCCTGGGTTTTGTTTATTTTTATTTTATTTCATATTTTCCATCACCATTTATCTCTTGTATGCCCTTCTCCACTTCCACCCCCTCCCAATCACCACACTATTTAAAAGCCCAAGAGTTCCAGAGTTTCTAAGCCTAAAAAAGGGAGGATTGTTTTTAATGCTGGGGGACTATTGATAACTTCAGAAGAGAGGTAAAAGGAAATTCTTGTACAGGATAAAAAATATTCTCCCCTCTCCCCCCTTTTTTTTCTAGAATGATTCTGGTGGACCACTAGTTTACCCTGACTCTAGAAATATCTGGCACCTTGTTGGAATAGTAAGCTGGGGTGATGGATGTGCTAAAAAGAATAAGCCAGGTGTCTATACTCGAGTGACTGCTTATCGTGATTGGATTACCTCCAAGACTGGACTCTGAAAGAAAAGTAACTTTGGAATGGAACATAAAGACAACTGCTGGGTTTCTTATCTGTTGCTTCAAAATCTTTTTCTTTTGACTGTTTGGTATACCAGTCATTTTCTTATATATAAATACATAGAGGTCTTTATCAATATTTTATTATACCTAAAACACTATCCATTTATTTCCTCTATTAACTAATAGAGAAAACACTAATAAAAAATAGATGGCCAGAATATTTTTAATTGCCTTGTTCTGTTCTATCCTACCATTATATTCAGAACTGACCTTAACTTACTTTTCAGAATTAAAAAAACAACAACACAACTTTTAGTATGAGAACACAAATGCTATATCTACCAAATAAATTATTTTTCATTCTATAAATTATAATTACATTTTGTTAAAGTGGAATATATAAGACATAATGTACACTCATTTTTTTGTTTATATGTGAGATAATTTGTGTGCCTCATAAAATCATGCAATCTTTGTGTGGAGAAGGGCCTCAGAGGTTCAACTAGAGCAAGTCTCTCAATGTATAGATTGAGAAACTAAAGACTAAAGAGGAAAAATTATTTACTTAAGGTCAATCTTCAGCCTCGCTGATAAGTTACAACACTCACATGAAATTACCTTCATAGAGTTTAGAACCAAAATTAATCAGGAATTTAAAAAAAATTGTCAGTTGCAATTATTTAAATAACATTTTCTGCTTGTCCTTCTTTTGTCATTTGTTTGCCTTCACTTGCAGCAAAAATAATGTGAGGTTTTCAAGGGCAGGGAACTGTGTGGAATCAATTCAGTAGCTCCAATCTCTGGAAATAATTTCCTAATATAAAAAGAAGTAGCCCAAGATTTTAAAAGTGACTAAAGTAGCCCAGCTGGCATGGCTCAGTGGTTGAGCATTGAGCTATGTGAACCAGGAGGTCACAGTTTGATTCCCAGTCACGGTACATGCCTAGATTGTGGGCTTGATCTCCAGTGTGGGGCATGCAGAAGGCAGCCGATCAATGATCAATGATTCTCTCTCATCATTGATGTTTCTATCTTTCTCTCCCTTTCCCTTCCTCTCTGAAATCAATAAAAATATATTTTTTAAAAAGTAGCTAAAATAAAGTAAAACTAGTTCTTCCCTCAATTGTTTGTAATATTACTTTTTTATTATAAGGTATGACCAAATGACATACATAGTGTCAAACCAATCCACAACAGGTGTGATAAGAAGTGTTTTTTCTCTCTTGATTCCTTTCTCAGGTGGGCACACATATTTATTGAGCACATAGTGTGTTCCAGGAACTGTCAAATATAGACACAGTATCTTCTCTCAAGGATGCTGCATTTAGTGGATAAAGATAGTAAATATACATAAAATAATTTTGGATTGTGATAAACATTATGAAGGAAATAAAAAATAATATGATAGAAAATTGTGGGGCAGATTAAGAATACTTGAGGTTGGGCTATCTAAATTATTCCTCTCTCTAAGAGAGGAGCATTTGAGCTGGAACTAAATGATGAATAGGCAAAACATACAAAACATCTGAGCAAAGAGAAATTCAAAGGAAACTAGTATAAAGTCCTTGAGACAGAAATAGGAGAGGAGGATGTGTGGGCAGAAATGATTTTTCTGTTATCAGCTATTTCATCTCAATCTCTTTTGCTGGATCTTCTACATCTTCCCAATCTATAAATGTTGGATTGTTCCAGGGCTCAGTCTTCAGATTTCTTCTTCTCTACTTGCACTCCTACCCTAGATGCTCTTATCCAGCCCAATACTTTCAATACCAACTATTTGCTGACAACTCCCAAATGTTTTAACTCTAGTTCTGACTTCTCCTGGGACCTATTTGCATATACTTGAAGGTCTAATAGGCAGTTTACGTTAGTATGTCAAAACAGAATTCTTCATTTTTCATCAGTCTTCCACATCTTAGAACATTAGTCCTGGAGTCATTCTGGGTATCAATATTTGAGATATTATTCTTTCTTACTAGAGGCCCGGTGCACGAAAATTCATGCACTGGAGGGGGTGGGTCGCTCAGCCAAGCCTGCCCCCTCTCACAGTCCAGGAGCCCTCAAGGGAGGGAGGTGACCCGGCGATCAGGGGAAGGCGATGCCCCCATCACACCTCTGCTGCTGCCACTGCCGGCAGCACAAGCCTTGGCTGGCCCTGGTTACTTGAGCCTCAGGTGGCCCTGGGTGGCTGGGCAGCCTGATCCGAGGCTTGCCTGTGCCTCGGGCCAGCCCTGGGCAACTGGGGGGCTGAGGGCGAGTCTGGCTGCACTGTGTGCCTGCCACTCCCCCGGCAGAGCTGAAAGGACTGGGGGACTCTGGCGGGGCTGAGGGGACTGGGTGCCACCATCTTGTGGCTATGGGTGCCACCATCTTTGTGAAAGGGTGACAGTCAATTTACATATCCCCTCTTTATTTGATAGGATTTTCATTATTAGAATTTGTATAGGGTTTACAACTGGACTGGGAAAGCTCTATCCTTACATCTGGAAGTTATTGGACTTTGACTCTTGGCCAAAATGAGGCCATTAGGATTTATGTGAGGTTTAAATTCTGAACCTTTCATGGCAGCCCCTGGGCCAGTTTGTTTACTGATCGAAGATCCTGCTGGAAATGTCTGCCTTGATTTCTTTTGGAGTTAACAGATTTTGGAGGTTCAATCTGGAGACAAAATGTGTATGTGTCTGAATAAGGACTATGGGAAACTTGAACCTGTATACGTCTTGGCCTCCCAATGCTTGCCTGTACTCTCTCTTGATGTACTGTATTCTTTGCCTTTAAATAAAGCTCTATGTAAGTACTAGTATTTTCTATGGAATTTTATCAGCCCTTTCAAATATCCAGACTTGTGAAATCTTTTCAAATTTAATATTTAAAAACTGCAGCAGTGGTGTGCTAAATAAAGTTGGCCTGTACCATTTGTATGAGCTGTATATGAAAACTTTAGGGATTGTGTTAACCAGTTGTGAAACACACCATAGTTTAAAATCAAGAATACTAAATATCCAAAACTTATCATATTTTAATAATTTTACTACATATTACTAGTGTTTATGGTCTTGAGATTATTTACATCTATTATATCTGTATAGTAAAGATACATATAATAGAGTGCTACTGCTCACGTCTTCCCAAATCCATGCTTGGCAATATCATGTGGGTATCTTGAATTGGTTATTGTGTATTTACAACATGGAAATTTAGTGAATGCTACTACCTCCTCTGGGAGCAGGATGTTAAATACTTACAGCATACCACTGAATTTAAGTATTTCCCATTTATGTTTTTAAAATAAATCTTCATCAAATGACACACTGAAGCACAATTTTTATTCCATGACATTACAAACTAGCTTTTGGTCATCATGCCAGATTCTTTTTGTTAAATGCCTGCTAGTGACTGAGGTAAGAAGATTTTTACTTGTTTTCATAATTTCAATGCAAGCAAAAGTTTCAGAAGAAGCTCTTTTGGAAACATTTTTCATGATGTGTCAAGTGCATTTCTAATTTGCAGTTTACAGTAGTTAATTAAAGGATTCTAGAAAAGGTGATTATGTTACTTTAATTTGTTGTATTCTATATTTTGTTTAATTCTGAAAATAAAATAATTACATCATGCTTCTTTTTGTTGTTTCCTAAAAAATTAAATTATCTTCATTTAAAATTTGTCACAGTTCCAAGAGCTCTTCTTTTGCCTCTGTGACTTTATAAACTTTCTCTTATAATTAATCAATCAGTCAATCAATCAATCAAGATGTAGTTTGTCACAATTGACATTCATTGTTGAATAAATAAAATTTTATTTTTACTAAGTATAGGGGTACAAATTACACAAGAATTTCATTAAATAACTATCTATAGTCTTATGAGCTTACATTAATACTTTTTAAAGTCAGGTTTTTCTCACTTACAAAAAATAAATCAACAATGCCAAAATCACTAACCAGGGTAATGAGAGATTGTCTCCACATTTTCCTTCCCAGTCATTTGATAAAAGATAAAGGATTAGAGGAATTTATCTAAGCCATTATCAGAGCAGGGATGAGGTAGTAATAATCAGGGAGACTTAGTCTATCAGCACCTCTATCTTTTGCTTAAAATCCTATTCCATTCCTGGTCTCAACACTCATTGAGGATAAAACCAAAATTCTTTATTATGACTTGCTGGTGCTCCAGATTGTACCAGGCCTACACCTGTCATTTCATTTCCCAAAAGATATAAAAATGATCTGTTTATGTATCTGAATATCTTACTAGACACTGATCTTCTCAAGGTCCCCTTTCCATCTAAGAGTTCCTGGACCTGTGGCTACTTCAAAAGAGGTTATCATTGTGTTCAATTGAATAAAACTGAAATGTACTATCAAGATCTTGCTGCTACACATACATCTCTTTTATCTCCCATGATGCCCTTGCATCTAACCTGTGACTCAATCACACTATTGAGATTTCTGAAACATGCTATATTGGGCCTTTCCAAATAGTGTACTCCTTGTCTAGAATGTCCTTCAATAACTTTTTTTCCCTCGTATACTCTTATCATTTTTTAAAAATTAGCTCACACCTTTGTGAAACTTTATCTAATGTGTTCTCATGGATATTATGCTTATTGTCATTAAGCCATCATCTCATCATGAAAGGTTATATAAAGCAAGCAAATACAATTTATTTTTAGTCAATATTAACTTGGCCCTAACTCCCTGAGAAACTGTATTTTATTGCCAATTCCAACTTATTTTTTATTCAGATCCACATCAAGGATAAGCTTATATGTCATAAGTATATCTAAATTTTTAAAATTATGTAACTAATATCAATACATTATCTTTGTTAAAAAAATGAACCCATGATAAATCAAACTAAACTTATTTTTAATCATCATTTTCACTTCTGGTCTCTTTCCTTCCCCTCCAGGATAATCACTGTTTTGTGAATTCTTCTATGTCTTTTCATATATTTATTTATCTTTTCATTTATAGCACATTAATTTTAGTACATATATCAGTACCCATTAAAGATGTAAAGTATTTACTATTTTTTAAGTATTAATGGTATATTGAATTACCATTCTGCATCCCACATTTTTACGCAGTTTTTCTTGAAATCTTTCTATATAGGTCAACAACATATCAGTCAGGGTTTAGAGGAGGAAAGATATTTTTAAACAGAAAAGAATTTGAAATAGGATATCAGGTACTTCAAAAACTGTTGGAAGAGCTGGAGGACCAGGCTCTAGCCTCAAGAATGATCTATAGAGCACTAGAGAACTGATACCCACGGGTATCATTAAATTAAATACCTAAGATCTAGGGATCAGAAAGACACCAGCACCAATGATATTACCACTTCAATCTCCTTACACCCACAAGTTTCTCAGGTCTCTGCTTACTCAAAAATTGTTTCTTGGCCCCCAGGAAGCTGGACAATGGACAGTAGAATGTTGCTATAGGAAATATCCTATATCAATGACCTTTCACTAACATAAATCCATAAGGCCTCATTTATGCCTTAGAAGGCCTCTAATTTGCTTCTCCCTTCCAAGTTTCATGTAAGTGCATCTAGCTGGCAGGATCTAATTTGCATACAGAATCCTAGCTGCAAGGGAATCTGGGAAATGTCATTTTTAGCTTTCTAATATCTGTGCCATTAAAAGAAAATG